GGGGGTTTGAAGGAGCGGCGGCGGCGGCGGCCGAGCAGGTGAGGGCGGGCTGAGGCGGCGGCARGAGGGTGGCGGTGTCTCGAGGTGGGACGCGGTTGCCGCCGGGTGAGGAGCCGGGGTGCGGTCAGTTTWGGGGGCCCCCGGGAAGGCGACGCTCCTCGAGCGTTGCGGCGGGCGGGGGTCTGCCCACGCGTGGATCTGGTGCTCCACGGGGTGGCTGGGGGTGGTGTGTGGGGTACCCCACTATCGGGGGCTGCTCGGGGGAGCTGCCGGGGCTGGCTGCGGCACCGGTAAAAAGTTCCCGGTGGCGCTGGGGAACGAGAGCGGGCACCGGTAAAAATTCCCGGTGGCGCTGGGGAACGAGAGCGGGCGCCGGGAGCGGCGACTGCCCCTTCGCCACCCGCCGGGGAGCGGCGTGCGGCACCCCCGTCCCAGCTGGGAGTGCCAGTACTCCCGGGGCGGCTCCTATGGGCACCTGGGTCGCTGCTTGCCCGGCAGCGGGAAGCCTCGCTCTGCACCTGGCGAGGGCTCTGCGTGGGACCGGGTGAGATGTGACCCAGCGGGGAGGGACAGCCCCGCTCCGCTCGGGGCGGAACGGCTCCTGCCCGCTCGCTGGGTGCGGAGCAGGGGGAGGCGCTGTCTCGAAGGCTGAGAAAGGTCGGGGGGCCTCGGGGACGGGGGCTTTTATCCTCGCGTCCGTGCGTGACAGCGGCTGTCCCCGCCGTGGGGCCAGAACGGGGAGCAGAAGGGCGGTGGTTGGGCCGTGCAGTGGGAGCTCTCCCGGAGCCCACGCAGGACTCGCACGGTCGGTGTTTGCTGCACTAGCACGGCTGTCCCCGCTCGCAGGCGGAAGAGGCGCGGGGCCCGCCTGGCTGCAGCCTGTTGCAGAAGTGGCTCCAACCTGTGCCCGTCCCGCTCTCCCTCTCTCCGTGCCGTGCCCTGCCCCGGCTCTGCCTCCCGCTCAGCCGAGGCTCAGCGCCCCTGCCCGCAGCCGCGCCTGGTCTCGCATGCTGCCCGGGGCAAAGATCGGCGGTGCCCGTGGGCCAAGAGGCGCTTCGTGGCCTCTCGGGTGCGCACAGAGCTGGGCCGAGCCGCCCCTCCTTCCTCCTGTCCGGTTACCTCCGCACAATGGGCACAGTGTGTGCCTGCGGCTTCCTCGGCGGGAATTACAGTTGCATGGGCAGGCACTTTATCCTTCCTGATCTCTCCTTTTCCCCCCCGAGGGTTTGTTTTCCAGCAGGCTGAGTTCAAAAAGGGCACGAGATACCGCTGGCAAGCAGTCTGGCACTAAACAAACCTTTTTAGTCAGAATCACATGGATTAGACCCAACTTTCCATTCACGTGCGGTGCTACCTGCGAGCTTCTCTGAATTTCATGATGGCTGGGCTGTTAGAGTAAGTGCGAAGGTGGGTGAGATAGCAGCTTGCTGGGGTAAGTGTGCTGCTGGTGACTCTGGGGGCATATCCAGTGCAGACTGCCTGAGCTACTCTCCTTCAAGGAGAAGTTCTGGCTCTGCCAGACAGCAATCTGAGAGCTGGCTGCCTAGGAGAGTACCAAAGACACCTTGTCTTCAGCCAGCAGTGAAGCTTGATGCACAAAGTCCTTGGGCTACTCTGAACAGCACAGCTAGATTCTGTCTGTAAGTAAGAATCATTTTGGCAGATGCTTCCTCTTCACCCCTTGCCCCCAGCCTCTGTCACACCCTGTGTCACGTCCCCTTTTGTTCATCTCCTGCCTGCAGTGAGTGAGTTTGGAGGACAGTTTGAATAGCATCATGCTGCCTTTTTATGGTAAATATGCTGTGAGGGAGCACTGTAGGATGGGCAGCTTTTCAAAGCATCAGCAAGTCTATGAGACTGGGCAAGACCTTAATTGCCTTGGCTTATGGTGCCCATGGTGTGTGTGGTGGCAGGAGAGTAGGAGGTAAAAGGCTGGGTTGAGGGACTAGTTTGACTCTTGACTGTGCCCGGAATGATCTCAGAACAGCTCTCTCCTTAGTGCTTACTGTCATTCTGGTTGCTGAGGGTTTATGCTTACTGTAAATCCACTGGCTGTAACCACGACCAGATAGCTCCAATGCTCTGATGATGAGGGGTGCGGGCTTAGCACTAATGGAAGGAAAAGAAGCAAACAAAAAAAAAAGCAAACATTCTGCCAGCCCATCTGTGGGTACAGTGCTGAAGTCCAGTTTGCTTGGCTGCCAGTGTCTCATTCTTTGCTCAGATCCATGAGACCATGCTATTTCTGGGAAGCCTGACTCTGGGCACAGCACTGCCATGGGTATAAGGCAGTCCATCCTAAGTATGTCTCAAAACATCTTTTGGAGTGCTGGGGTAACTGAGGATGTTTTCTTACAGTATCTGCTGTTGGAGCTTGGGAGCAGGATGTGGGAGAAGAGACTTAGCATATTGATGCTTGGCTGTGTCTTGGGAGATGGGTAGTTGGGAAGGGAAGAGGATATTCTCCCCAACTTTGCCTTCCTGCTGACCTTCCACTGCCAGAATGGAAGTGGCTTGGCAGTATGAGGTCAGAGATGTGGATCTTTTTGGCTGTGGTTGAAAGCGAGCAGTTGTGGTGAAGAATGAGATGGCCTTTCTGGCCCTGTCTCCTTAGAGCATCCCTTCGTTCCCTTCTCAGCTCTCACACTGTGGTCTGGCAGTGTATTTTCTTTGCTTCTGGATGAGCTCAGCCAGTACTTTGGGATAGCTAGGAATAAATTATGACTTGCTCCAAATAACCTGTAGACGGAGGCATGTCCAGGAAGTATATTAGTCCCCATTACATGAACCCTGCCTAGAATGGAAGGCCTCATTCACTCATGATATCYCTCTGGAGGCAAACACCTCTCAGGGGAGCTCCAAGTCTCTGTCCAAATGGGAAACAAGGGCAATGAAGCCCACCAGGTTCTGAGCATGGCAATGCTGGTGGTGGCAGCTTGTACTGCTGATCTTGGACAGCCCTCCTGGGATTTGCAAAGGCAACAGCTGGCGGGAGAAGTTGGTGGTGTAGTACCTAAGTTCCTGAAGTGTTGCTGGTGGACCTGTTACTTGAAGTGGTAGTCTGGGGGAAGGGAACCCTAGGTCAAACAAGCTTAAGGGGCCTTTTAATGTGTGCTTTGACTTGGAGGCATTTTGTTGCTGTTCTCTGTTAGGGTGCCCCTGCCCTTCCCAGCTTAGCTCAGACTTGGCATCTCTGGAGAAAGACTCTTTTTGGCTTCCCAGGAGGAACAACACGTCTGGCAACATGTGCAGAGCCCTGCTGCGAGATACTGACTGCCTTCTGCCTCCAGATGCCTTTTCCAGAAAGGCATTTAGAGCCTTTCCATCCATTTAGAGCCACAGATTGTTACTTGGATAACTCTGTTCCCTGATTCATTGGCAATGGCAGTCTGTCCTGTAATGCTCAAATCTGCCTGTGCCAAAGGCTGAAAGGGAGAGGCCATGTCTTTTAATAACCATGTGATGCAGTTGGAAAAAACTTTTGGACATGGATTTCTCTGGTGGCCTGAGTTGATGGAAACACTCCAAGGGAGAGATACAGCTGGGCCCTAAGGGAGAGGGCACTGCAACTGCTTTTGGGTCCGTGAGGGGCAACTTAGTGGTTTCTGACCTTCCTTTCCCCCAGCATCACCCTAAGTTCTCCTGATTCCACCTGGAGAAGGCAAAAGACCTGAAGATGGGTMTTCACTGTGCTGCAGATCTTGCAGGTCCTGTGTATGGTGCTGTGTAAATAACTGCTACTGTCTGGGCTGCAGCCATATGATGTGGGCTCTGTCCTGGAGATGAGGCTCCTGCTATGTGCAAATGGGAACTCTGCTGTCCCAGTGGTGCTGGTTGTCATGCTGTGGTGCATCCCAGTGGAYGGTGTTGCTGTGTATAGCAGACACAAATCTGGGTCTCCCCACTCAATGTTAGCCCTGCTGAAGGGGCCTTGGCTTTTCCAGCTCTTTGCTATTGAAAGTACTCAGTGTTGTTGCCAGCAGCTTCTGCTTTCTGGCCCAGGTGGAGTGACTTGGCTCTTCCCTGTACCCTGTAAAGCTCCGGGTGAGGGTTGTGGGGTGTATGCCAGGAGGGTTTGGCACCCTGGTTTCATATATCCTGTTCCTACTGCTCCAGAAGGATCCATCTTTGAGTTTCCCATTAGACCTCTTTGGTCTGAGGTGGGAGCTGACTGATCAAGATGAGCAGAGTGGGTATGGTGGAGGAGGCAGATGTCTGTTTACTGACATGTGCTGTAAGGTCCACATGTGTCCCCTCTCACTGGCTGCTACCTTGCAGCCAGAATCTGAGGGAGCTTCACAAAGCACCAGTGTTGGGCCTTGTTGCTGAAGGAGAGTTTTGTTGAGCAATGCAGTGCTGTACTTCACTCTTAGAATTGCTGGATTTCACTGTTCAGGTAGCAGCTGTTGTTACTATTTTTTATTTCCAGTCCTTGATGTCGTCTCCCTTCTGTCATTTTGTGCTGTGCCAGGTTGGCCTGGGGTTTGCTGTGGCTAGAGGGGTGCAGGAATATACCACACTGCACCCTTGCTTGTTTCTCTGTTGGGCTTTCAGAATAGGTGGGACATGCTTTTGGTAGGTTTTTACCTGCTTTTAAGATCCTGCTCCTGCTGCATCTTAAAGCAATGATGTGTGGGTAGAGGGTCTTTAAAACAAAACTCCCAATTCTTCTCTGATTCCTTTGCCCCAGCATATTTGTGCGACTTTGCTTTTGTTTTGGGCTTTCTCCTGATAAGGAAATAATAATCCTTCTAGCCTCCTGGGAGAGGGGCTTATCCATTTCATCCTGCAGTTGTGGAATGCATGTGCCCAACCCTGTGGGAGTTGGAGGAAAGGGGTGCCCTGGCAAAATTCCAGCAGAGGGAGAGGATTTCCTCTGAGGAGGAGTAACATGTGCAGATTGCTCTCCTCTCTTCAGCACAAGTTGTGTGRTGTTTTTTGCCTGCTTTCTCTCTCCTCTCCATTTACCCCTTCTCTCTCCCTGTGTGTGTCTATTTGGATGCACTCTCTTAACAGCCATTATGGGGCTGCCCAGGGCATGTCATGGGGCTCAGGTTACTGGRCACGATAGTTAATCCCTTTATTGCCTCACAAGGTAGACACTTGCTGCTGCTATCATGTTTGGGAGGGGGCCAGAGAACTTGCATCCCTCCCCCAGTTCCTCATGCTGCTGAAGGATTGGTGTGAGGACTCAYATGTGTTGTGATGGAACATGGTGGCTGTCGCTTTGCCAGCAATTCTGGGGACACGTGTACAGTCCTCCTTGTGTGGGTGGGGAATGWGCTAAGGACAGTGCAGTGATCTGGGACTAGGAATGTGCAAGCATGCAGGTAGTCATTCTTCCATGGGCTGTTTGGGTAGCCCTGGGTGACACTCAGCCGTGCTTTGTGATGGGCTGGAGGATAGGGACAGGACCAAGGTGTTGGGTGCWCTTATCTGTGACTCTTGGATGTGCAGGGACCTGTCCTCAGAGCCCTCTTATGCAGTAGCTCTTCACGTGACTTCTTTTGGGTTTCAGGTGACAGCAAGCTCCAAAACTCTCAAGTACAGCTGAGATGTCTTTTCTGCCCTTCAAGCTAAGAAACCTTGGTTAGAGGGGGTCCTTACAGGCACCACCAGGCCCTGCAAACTTCTCCAGCAGTTCCTAGATACTCCTGCAACATTGGCAGCCTTCAAAGGTTAGTTATCATGTGTGTTCAGTGGACAGTTTACATGTGGTTGCTCTCTTGCTGTTTTAGTGCTTCTAAATCAGTGAATGGGATAATTGCATGGCAGTAGGGCTTGGCTCCGTGGGTATTTGGGACCTGTGGGACATTCTGGAGACAGCACTGGCACTTATAAGCTCCCATAGCCCAGTTCTCTAGAGGGAAGGACCAGATTCTCCACATGAATCATTTAAATAAAGTGTGATCCCATATCTGTGGCTATTCACCTGAGTGTGCATGTCTGGATCCTTTTCCCCAAACACTGCTATGGTCTATTGCTTGTTTCTTTTGTAGTGGGCAGTAGGTCACTGGGACCTGGACTGAGGAGCTGGAACAAGCTCTCTGGGTCAGGAAAAAGGGAAAGACCCCCTCCTGAAGGCTGGGACCTTGTGCTGGCATTGTTCTGTCCTAGCAGCTTCTCTTCCCTCTGTCCTTTACATCAARTGTTTCTTTGGGGCCACTGTTCTCAGTGGCCACCTCTCTCTCCCTGCCCCTCATTAGTGCAGGGCTTGGCATGCCAGCAGGAGGGAGCCTCAGCGTGTCTGCGTCTTGATGGGATTTGTCAAGGCTCCTTCCCTTTTCTTCCTGTTCATTGAGGTCTGAAACAAAGCAAACAGAGGAGAGGAATTCCAAAGAATAGGAGTGAGGGAAGAGAGGAACGCTGGAGTGACAGGCTGTCCCTGCACACATGCACCCCCCTGCCTTGGTCTGGTGGGGCAGAGCTGGTGGCAGAGCATTTTGGGAGGTGAGGCCATTCCTTGGCCCTTCTTTTCCCAGCTCTGGCACCAGCTGCCTTTCTCCACGTRCTGTGGGGCTCCTGTCCTCACTGCTCAGGTAGCTTCTGGAGCCTTAGGCTTGCTGCCTACTCTGCATGGCCACATGCACCTGAGCACAGCTTGAGGGAAGCAGGGCATTATTTGAACTGCTTTGTTTGTCRTGGGCTGTGGTAAAAGGTTTCCCTTTTTACCAGTGAGGAATTCTTTCCCTGCCAGGCAGATGCAAAGGAACCCGACATCCTGCTTGGGTGCCAGGGCAGTGAGGCACTGGCCCCTCYCCACCTTGGAGCCAGATAAGTGCTGGAACAAGGCCCTTTTGTGCAGACAGGTGTGTGAAGTGGAGACAAACTGTACTCTGGCACTCATGTTGTTTCCCAGGAGGCAGGAGACTCGGGAGGGGAGTCATGGCCAGCCAGACAAAGCTGCCACAGGTAAAGCTTTGTGCAGTCTGATAGATGCCCTTGCTCGCTCCTTTGTCATTCCACCACGCAGTTTCTCCTTCAGCCTGCCCTCGACCCTCCATAGATTGGATCAGGGAAGGCAATAGGATGCTCAACAGCCCCAGTATAAAGCACTTGAGGTGAAATACATCCCTGCTAGTGACACCCCCCTCCTTGCATTTAAGCCACAAAGAACAGCCTTTAAGCCACAGCCTCTTCTTTCCTTTCCTTCTTCCTCCTTGTTCTCTACCTTCTGGCAATCTTTGCACTCCATGGTTTAATTAGAGAGCAGAGTAAARTGCTTAGACTCCAAAATGTGCAGATTAAGGGGTTACTAATCCTCCTCCTCAATGGGTGCTCACATCCTGTCCAGCCTGTTATCAGGCTTCTGTTCCCTGAGTGGAAACTTGGCCAAACTTGAGACCTCTACCTTTCTTCCTGCTTGCTGTGCTGAGGAAGGGCAAGGGGTGACAGGAGAGCCGTGGGGAGAAGCAAAGTGAGCTGTGGGTGACAGAATTCTCAAAATGGTTTGTAGTCAGCACTGGCTATCTTTGCTTTTTGTGTTCTGTCTGATTTTGGTGCTCCAGGAGCAATAAAGCAGGGGTTTGGTATTTTTCTTTTGATTTTTTTTTTTCTGAGTGCCATCTTCCTGCTCTGACAAATAACTTTTCTGTCAGAGGAAGCAACTGCTTCCCYGTGTGGGTGTGCATGTGTGTTTATATGCTGGGTGATTTGGTTCAGGTCTGTRCCTTCCCTGTGCCTGCACCCCTCTCCCAATTTCCCATCAGTCTCTTATTCCCAGTGTATGCCCAAGTGAGCTGTGCTGCAGCACTGCTTAAAGAGAGTGGGAGGCTGGTGCCTGGCAGTGCTGCCTGAGGCCGGTTGTATTCTCATCTGTGGAGGCTGAGTTCTCTTTATAGGACATATGGTGTCAGTGAGAAGGGGAAGGTGGAGTATTTATGGATCCAGATGGAGGCACCAGCAGGGAAGAGGGAGTAGTGAGGATGAGTGTGGTGGGAAGAAGAAGACTGGTCCTGGAAGAACTGATGGTCACAGGATGGTCTGAGCTCTTATGCCTCTGTTCCTCTCCAGGCTGGACGCTGCACAGAGGTTGCTGTGGATTGCAGGAGACRTGAGCTTTTGTCCTGAGCCACTCATCAGCTGCTTGGTTGAGTTGAGCTGTGCTGTTTCTTCCCTGCTTTTGTCCTTTGGTGTGCGAGTTCAAGGTTTAGCTCAGCAGTGTGAGAAGCCCCAGGGATGGGAACACAAGGAGCGGCAGGAGGGGAGGATGGCTGGGAATGTTCATTAAGAGGTTTGGATGTTGGGAGTGTTCTCCTTTCCGCTGCCTGGCTTTGGGAACTGCCTCCCCTCTGGGATCCATTTCCCCTCCTTCCCCACCCCCATCTAATTTCCAGTTTGCAAGGTGCCCTATATGCCTTTTTTGCAGGTAAGTTTTGTGTCTCTTAGCCTGGACAGCAGTTTTCTCTCCACATTGTTGTCAGAGCTTCTTGGCAATATGCAAGCTTCTCTATAGCTTAGAATCACTTCAGGTCTTAGAAAATGCCCAGGGCACCATGAGTGGATGGCACTATTGCTGCTTGAGTTTTTTAGAGCCTGCCCTGAGCCATCCTGGTTTGCTATTTATAGTGCAGTTGTTCCATTCCTGTGTGGACGAGCTCTGCTTTCAGCCTCACTTGGGCACAGAGGACACTGGTGCCAGGAATAGCTCTGGACAGGGAAGATRTAGGAGTGGCTGCTTGAGCACAGCTCCCAGTTTGGGCCAGTCYCTTGTGGGAGAGGCACCAGGCTGCATCCTTGGGCTCAGCTTTTCACACAGAGGAAGTGAAGGGATTGCCTTTCTTTGTCAGTGCCTTGTGTGTGCCTGGCTGCTGGACTAGTTTGGCATTGTGGGARATGAAGTTTGGAAGAATTGCTCCAGTGAGCAATTGGACCGTGAGGGACCGTGGTGTCATGAGCTGATGGCATTAAACKGTATAGGCAGAGGATTAGGTTGGTTATTAGGAAAAACCCAGAGGGCGGGTAGACACTGGAACAGGCTCCCCAGGAAAGTGGTCACCACACCAAACCTGACAGTTCAAGAGGCTTATGGACAATGCTCTTAGGCGCTTGGTGTGATTTTTGAAGTTGTCCTGTGCTGAGTTGGGAGTTGGACTTGATGATCCTTGTGGGTCCCTTCCAACTCAGGATATTMYATGATTCTGTGCTGGGCAGTTGGCATGGGAAGCTTTGCTCCTAGCATGTCCTCCGAGCAGTGACAGTGACCTTGTGTATACTAACCTGCTGCCCCCTGGGGCAGGTGGGTCCACTGTGATMGGGTACCTGCTGTTCCTTGCACAGGACCCTCCTCTCCTCCCTCCAGGTGAGTGCTTGCTAACCCTGAGGGAGCTTGAGCTAAGGCCTGAAAGGAGCCTGGAGCACAAAGAAAGTCAGCACCCTCCTCAGCATTGCTGCTTGGGCAGAATTGCTTCAGCGCTTTGGCTCAGGATGCTCTCAGCTTGTCTGGAGAGCAGAGCTGGACAAATAATTAATTGCTTGATTTTGTGCCCAAAATGAAAAGCTGGAGGGAAAAAAAAAACTCAACACAGACAAATTTGAGAGACCCTTTATCTTTTCTTWTAAATGTAATGCAGCTCAATTACAAACAAAACGATGCGAAATGAGTCTTTTTTCCATGGAAAACAAAGCATTTTGTTCTTGTCCAAAACTTGTAGTGAAGGAGCATATAGCTCTGAGCTGTCTGGAAACTGCAGTTTTCAATCAATAACTATTCAGCTGAAAATGCTTACCCAGTTCTGCTGGTGACAATGCATGGCAGGCACCTGACAGCCTGGCTCACAGCCATGCCCCTGGCACTTCCCCAGAGGTGGATGGTGTCGTACTTCTTGTGAGCTTTTCCAGGTAGAGTGCCAATCTGGGGTTGTTGGAGTCCCTTTGTCTGCTTTTTTGCAGTAATTAACCTAATTAATTTTGCCTGAGGTGATGCAGACTCAACAAACATGTATAGTGGGTAGGTTTGGCCTGTTGTGTTGGGATATGGTCTCCCCTGTCCCACCAGGAAGTCCCTCCTGGTACAGGATGTTCAAGAGCATTTCAAGAGATCAGGGAGATTTGGGACATGGGGTTAGACCCCACCCATGGACACTGCTAACTGGAAGCTTGGGGTGTCAGTGTTGCACAGGATGAAATTTCCACCCCTTGCTTTACGGGCATGATGCCTGCTGGGTGTTCCAGCTGTGCCAATGGCATAGCTGGAGCTGGTGGAGGGCATTCTGCTGGCTGACTTGGATAAAAGCTGGAGCTCCTGGCTGCTGACCCTGCTCAGCTGTGACCCCAGGAACCACTGCAAGCCCGCAGCAGTGAAAGTGTCAGGAAATTGCAGGGGTGAACAGGTATTGATGSCCAGAGTATATCCGGAGACCAGGACACAGTGAACTTAATGGATTCAGAGCTGGCCATTAGCTGCAGCACAGACGTCAGCAAAAATGCAGATAGAAACCTAATCCCATCAGAGAGGAAGGGAGCTGGAGATCAGGCCCAGTGCTGCTCCTCTTTGAAGATGCAGCTGGGGTCCTCCTGTAGTGTAATGCTCCTGCATAGTGCACAGGTCTGGTCCCTCCTGTGCCAAGCCATATTGGCCAGGGARGCATGTGGATTAGATTTGATCCAGGACTCTGTGGCCTCTGTGTCTGTCCTCAGTTGAGCCTGTGCTTCACCAGGACCAGAAAAAAAGCTAGTC